CCCCCGCCCCTGGTCGTGGACAGCAATCGGCTTGCCCCGTGCCTGCCTCTCCGCGTCCTACCATTCCCACATTGTCCCACATTTCTGCGGCTGTTAGCTGCACCCCGCCAGAACACGCGGCATTTTCACGCGGTGCAATCGCGAGCCCCCACTTCGCCCTTGGCGCAGAGCAGCACTTGGATAACCCCACGCTGCCGCTCCCAGGCCAGTCACCTAGATGTATCAGTGGGCTGCAGGTCTCGGGCGATGCCACCCCACTTCGCAAGGAGGCTGCACGCCTGGCGGGCCTGAGTTGGCCCCCCATCGAGCTTCTGGTCTCGGGCGGCGCAACCCCCCGCCCTGAGTCGCGCACGCGGCAGGCCCAGGCTGGCCACCCCCCCCGGCTGGCTTGGCATGCCACTGTCGCCACTGGAGTGTACTCCATCGGCGGAGGACTCGAAACGGCGCCGCACGCTAGCCCGGCTGGACTCGTGGCCTGCCCCTTCGTGGCTCGCCGCGGCAGCGACCTTCGACGGACTACGCGGTCCTGGAGCTGACCTGGCGGATGGCGCCCGCGCGCCGCACGCGCACTCGCCCCCCGCACTTGCGGCCACTCTGCGACGGCGAAGCAGCCCGCATTGCACTGGCTTGGGTCAGCCATACTACAAGTTCCGGTTGCTCGGCAAGGGGCGGTCGTCTCCCACCCGGCGTGAGCGTGAGCCGCGGCTTGCCTTCTCTCATGTTTCGCCTCGTTCCCCCTTCTCCGGACGGGCTATACTTCCACGCCGCGTAGATGAGCCCGTCAAGCCCAGGAGCACTGCCGTTGGCCTTCTTGAAAACGTTTTGAATGTTAGCTAGCGTCGGCGGCGGGAGGTCTTTCCGGGAAACGGAGGGCCCATGCCGATCTAAAGATTGAGCGATCTCGCTCGGGACTACTTTTTTTCCTCCTGGCCGAAGACCGCGCCCCAGCGCTGGCCGAGCAGCTGCAGGACCTGGCCAGGGTCGCGAGCGACGGCCCCGCCGTCGAACTCGAGGCCACACAGGGCAACCTGCCTGCCGAAGGGGGCCCAGAGTTTGCCACGAGCGATCTGCCCGTTTCAATCGTCGTCGCTGTTTGCCCCTGGTGAATTCGTTCGTCGCCGCGTCGATCTCCTTCTTCGTCATCGCCTCCCTCCTGTTCGCCGTCCCTCTCGAGATCTCGCCCATCGTCGTGGCAAACTCGCTAGCATCGATGAGCGCGACTTACATCCCTACGGAGTCGACGCACAAGCGTTGCCTACCCAGCTCGGAACTCGGAGTCATCTTCTCTCCCAGTTTGACGTCTTGCCTCCAGACGGTTCTTGCTGTACTTTTAACCGCGATGCATTTGGAGACTGTTGAGCGAGTTCCGAAGAAGCGAACTCCTGGCGATCCGAGCGGCCCCCTTCATCATTTTCTCGGAAAAGTCCATGGCAAGGGGCGGGAGCTCATCAACATTCACCTTCTCAAAGACTTTGTCAAAACTTCCGTGTATTTCGGGTGCGAAAAGACTTCAACTGGGATGCTCTGGCACGCTTCCCCTCGACGCCCAGGGAGACCGCTCGAGAACGACACTATCAAAAGGGAATGGTCGCTGGTGCCCTCATGGCGCAGCACCTCGGGAAGCTCCTGCACCCCCCCCGTCTCGGTCAACTGAGTGAGGATCCAGCCCTCATCGAGCGCCGACAGAAGCCTGAGCCTCTCACAGAGTCGGTCCTGGAACTTGTAGCCCGACTAGGCCCCGCAAGGACCTCATCAAGATGCGATATTGTCCTTTCCTGCATTCTTTCGCGAAATTGGGTTTCCTGGCCCCCTGGCCCCCAGGTCTCCCGCGGATAATCTCTGGCTCCCCGACGCCCCCTGTGCGCGGCAGCTGGTCGGCAAAATTAGAATCGCCGGTCACAACTACGAGCATGGTCTCTGGGGAGAGCTGCGCGTTCGTTTTGCCAAGATTGATTTGCTCCGAGGTAAGGGTCTCCTGAGCGGCCGAGAGGCCGAAGTTATGCATGTTATAATGGCGAGTCCAGACTCCCGTTTCGAACTCAATACGCACATTGAGAACTCCCCCTGGGGCCAAAACTCTGGACTCGATAGTCGGCGTTAAGTCGGTGTTGGACACGAGCTCCGGGAAAAAAGGTGATCATCCCTCCTGCGTTCGGCGTGCTACAGAAGGTTGCTGCAGCACAGAAACCCTTGTGCGCGTGATACAATGGCTCGCGCACTTCCACCGATCCTGAATCGAAGGTTCGTGGTGAAACAGAGCCCTGGCATTCCACGTGGTCAGAGATAGCGCCCACTTCTCCTTCCCTCGCCAACGGGCGAGAAGCGGGTTAAAGACTCCACGCAACTGACGCCGTCGGGCAGGCAAACTCTGAGGCGATGCTGCCCCGAACCATTTCGATATCGAAGCCCTGGGCGGTGAGGCTCTCCGCAACAAAATGTATGACTGGTTCCTGATCTCCTGGGCGCGGCTGGATCTTGAACAATGGGACCCAGTTGGCACTGAGCTCCCCGTTCTGCTTGTCTCCAAAAATGCGAGCATTCGGCTGGAGACGCCCGAGAACAGAGCGAGCCCTCTTGATGAGGATTTCCTCCTTGACCATCTCCGTATTCTTGTCACCTGAAACATATGCCTCGTGTCGTGCTCCGTCCACATCAGAGCACTCGAGCTTCTCGTAGCTGCCGTCCATCTTCCTGAGACTTCCCAGCATCTGCGACACCTTTCTCGCAGCGTACGCAGCGGCCCCCAAAACCCGCATCGTGAAGCGCTTCCCGACAGGCTCTTCGCCCGTGTGAATGTCCGAGGGCGTGATGTTGTTCCGCTCAAGCCATGGCCCGAGCGTTGCCAACATGCCCCGCTTCGCCAGCATGCCCTTGATCCTGACCACCAGGATCGTCGCGTCGATCTCCCTGTCGAAGGCTGGGTCGATGGTAGGAGGGACTGGCCGTTCATCTTTGATGTCTCCAAGCTGTCGTCGTACTGCTTCCATATCCTGCTGAAACTTCTTGATATCGGCTGTGTGCCCAGCCACCGTGCCTTCCACGCCCGACACCCTTCTCTCGATGGTGGCCTGAATCTGTCCGATAGAGTTTTCGAATCTGGATCCCAGGGTGGCAGTATGCGAGGACATCGTGCCGACCTGGTGCTGGAAAGCAGCCACGGCTCCTTCCATGGCTTGTTTGGTGCTCTCCACATAGGCTCTGAGCTCCGCATCTGGATCAGTGGTCCTTGAGGACTTGGATCTTCGACCCCCGTCTTCGTCATCAGAGAAAGTAGGAGCACCGTCAATAGCCTAGGCCAGCTGCCACATCTGTGTGGACCCCATCGCGAGCGCCATGCGGACTGCGGCAAAAGGTGAAACAACTCGGGAGAGGCCAGAACCGCCGTGCCCTAGACTCGAGAAAGGCCTACGGAGAGGCCGCAAAGCTAATCGCTGATTCTCGGGCGGTTATAGCCCTTCACAACGTTTAGCCTTGAGCCAAAATGGCTACGGAAATCATGCTCCTCCTCCTCCTAATCATCACCATCATCAGCATCGTTGTCATCATCACCAGCATCAACATGCCGTCGTCGTCGTCATCATGATCAGCAGCATCGTCAACATCATCATCATCATCAGCAGCAGCAGCAGCATCATCATAGTGATGATAATAAAAAGTAATAGTAATAATACTAGTACTAGTAATAATAATAGAAATAGTAATAATAATGATAATAATAATAATACTAATAATACTAATAGTAATAGTAACAATAATAATAATAGTGATAGCAATGGTAATACAAATAGTAATAATAATAATTGCTCTAGTGGTAATAATCATCATCATGCCGTCATCATCATCATGTCGTCATCATCGTCCTCACCCCTATCTTCTCTTCACAGTACTAACCCTCCACCCTATAATTGCCAACCCCTACCCATCCTACTCCTCACACTCCCCCTCCATTCATCAAACCCCTCCTCCTCCTCCTCCTCCCCATCCTTATCCATAATATACAGTATGCTTATCATCGCCCTCCCCCTCCCTCTCCCCATCCAGCCTACTCCTCCCCCCTCCTCCCCCTAATCATCCTGCATCCTTCCCCCATAGATGTTTCTCCTCCTCCATCCCTGCTCCTTATGAATAACTCCTCCCTGCCCCACCCCCAATCGTGACGACTCCTCTCTGTCGCACTCCTGGGCATGTTGGTAGGGCGGGCCGGTTTGTCGCCTGACTTCCTCGCCACTTATGATCCTGAAGCTTGGAATTTTCAACAGCTTCGCGGATGGAGGGCAGGCCGTTTTTCAATGTTGCTCTCGCATTAGCGCCGCGCGCATTCGTCGTAAAAGTTGCCAGCAACTTCACGAATGGAGAACGGCTGGTTTTCAAAATGTGGCTCTCGCCTTATCGCCGCGCACATTCGTCTTAAAAGTTTGCAGCAGTTTTGCGGACGGAGGGTGGCTCCTTTTTTGTTAATGCTGCTCTCGCCTAGGCGCTGCGCAGATTCGTCTGGAAAGTTTGCAACCGCTTCAAAGATTCGTGCGGTCGAAGTCCTAGGAATGATGCGATGGCGCGATGTAAGAATGTGAGAACGGAACACTAGCGGTGATTCGCGGTGCAGAAATCCCAGAAATGGTGTTCTAGTACGACTTAAGACGGTCAGGACGCAACAGTCACATTGATCCACGGCGTGTAAATCTTAGGAACGGCGTTCTGGCACGATTGAGGATTACCATACGGTTGTCTTCAAACGGGCCACTTCCTGGACTGAAAGTAGATTCTTCTAGTAACCTGTGACGATGGAACTTGAAGGGAGGGCGCATTGCAACATCATTGATGCGTCTCGGGCTCACTCTAGTCCTCCTCCTCCTCCTCATCCTCCTCCTCAGCCTCCTCCCTCCTCTTCCTCCTTCTCCTCCTCCTCCCCCTTCCCTCGCTCCATACATGCTCCAAAACCCACCCCGTACCATCAATCATTCACGCCTTCCTCCCCGTCATTCAAGATCGGCGCGGCATGCCTCCGGACCCGGCGCTGTGGTGGCGCGGCCGCGCGCCGAAGTCCGGGCGGGACCTCCGCCTCGCAACCACCTCTGGGCTGCGATGCGGCCGAGAGAGCAGACGAGGGAAAGGACTGAGGAGCGAGGCAGAACAGCAACCGGAGGAGATTGAAAGAAGGGAGGAGGCGGAGGAGGAGGAAGAGGAGGAGGAGGAGAAGGATACGGAGGAGGAGGGGAAGGAGGAGGAGGGAGGAGGAGGGAAGAGAAGGAGGAGGAGGAGGAGGAGGAGAAAAAGGAGGCGGAGAAGATGGAGGAGCATAAGAGCTAGAGCGGAGATGTTGGAGGAGCAGTAGGAGAAGGAGGAGGAAAAAACGAAGGTTGATGAGGAGAAAGAAGAGGAGGAATGTCGGGAGTGGGAAGAGGGGCGGGCGGAGGCGGAGGAGGATGGAAGAGGATGGAGAAGGAGGAGAAAGAGGAGGAGGAAGAGGAGGGTGAGGGGGGAGTCGGGCAACTTGGACTCACTCCATTGTCCGTATCCGGATCCTCCGCCGCCTCCTGGCCACTCATCGCCCCTCCTTCCCTGCGGTGGGGAGACGTTCCGAAGCTCGTGGTGATGCGAGCAGGGTGCCGCGAAAAAAGGCTGACGCAGAGACGGCGGGGCCGGGGAACGATGGAGCAGTGGAACCCACCTTCCCCGTCCTGTCTCCTCCAACCTCCCCCTGCCTATGGAAACCTTACTGCGAGGCCACCAGCATCTTCCTCATGCTGATCCTCCTCCTCGCACGCTTCGTAATCATGATCCTAATCCTGATCCGGGTCATCATCATCATCATCATCATCATCATCATCATCATCATCATCATCATCATCATCATCAGTATCATCATCATCATCAGCAGCAGCAGCAGCAGCAGCATCCTCATCATTATCATCATCATCATCATCATCAGCATCATCATCATCATCATCATCATCATCAGCATCCTCGTCATCATCATACTCATACTCATACTCATCATCATTATCATCATCATCAGTATCATCATCAGCAGCAGCATCAGCATCAGCATGGGCATCATCATCAGCAGCATCAGAATCATCCTCATCATCATCCTCAGCCTCAGCCTCAGCATCAGCATCGTTAGCATCAGCATCAGCATCCTCATCATCATCCGCATCGTCAAAATGATCGGCATCAGTATCATCATCATCATCATCATCATCATCATCATCATCATCATCATCACAACCACCACCATCATCATCATCAGCATCATCATCATCATCCTCATCCTCATCCTCCTCATCGTCATCCTCCTCTTCCTCATCAGCATCGGCATCGTCATCATCATCAGCATCATCATCAACATTACCATCATCGTCGTCATCAGCATCATCATCACCATCACCACCATCACCACCATCATCGCCATCACTTTCGTCATCACGTCCGTCACCATGGCCTTCATTTGTGTGCGTATGTCTGTGTCGGCGCGAGGCTTCCACTATCCTGCCATGCCGGCAGGCCACACCCCTCTGAGCGTGCTGAGCGGTGAGAGACGGCAACGGTCGCTCACGCCCGCGGCCTCACCGCAGGAAACGGCCAAGATTGCCCACGCCCTCGGCCATAGCCATCACCGCGGGGAGGCACACACTGCCCGAGAGGGAGACGGCTGTGGTTGCCCACGCCCTCGGCCTCAGCACGGAGACGGCTACGGTTGCCCACGCCCTCGGCGTCGGCCACTACCGCGGGAGGGCACTGACCTCAGCCCGTCTCCCGAGAGCGGAGCGGGCCCTCGCATGGGCACGAGTCGGCGGGCCCGCTCTCGGAGAGCCTCCCAAGGCATGGACCCCGCGGAGGCCACGGGAGCCCTCGGAGGCGGCAGCGAGGGCGACCTGGGAAGCCCAGGCCTCGGAGGCCACGGGCCGGGGCACTCGGAAGGGCAGTTGGCGGGATCGGCCTCTGGTGCCCAGCTTCTGCGGAGAAGCCGTCGCGTTCACGCCCTGCCCTGCCGTGACCCCGCACGCAGAATATCACATACGTCGTAATCCTCCTCGCTCACGTGGTCGGGCAACACGAGCGTTTTGGGCTGGTGATGAGGGAGATGACAACAATGAAGATGGTGATCGTGATGAAGATGATGATGCTGATGATGATGATGATGGTGATGATGATGGTGATGATGATGACGACGATGGTGATGGTGATGATGACGGTGATCAGAATGATGATGATGATGATGATGATGATGATGATGATGATGATGATGATGATGATGATGATGATGATGATGATGATGATGATGATGATAATGATGATGATGATGGTGGTGGTGGTGGTGGTGGTTATGCTGATGATGATGGTGGTGGTGGTGGCGATTATGGTGATGATGATGATGATGATGATGATGATGATGATGATGGTGATGGTGATGGTGATGGTGATGGGTGTCGTGATGGTGATGGTGGTGGTGGTGGTGATTGTGCTGATGCTGATGCTGATGCTGATGCTGATGCTGATGCTGATGCTGGTATTAATGCTGAAGATACCGATGATGATGATGATGATGGTGATTGTAATGATAGTGGTGACGATGACAATGATGAATGTGATGAAGATAACGTTATGATGAGCATCGGCATCACTATCATGATGTTGATGCTGCTGTTGGTGATGATGGTGGTGGTGAGGAGGAGGAGGCGATGGACGATGACGATGATGATGAGAACGAAGGCGAACACGACAACGACGATCATAACGGTGAAGATGAGGATAAGCAGGGCGGCAGAATGGGGAAACCGGAAAACCAAAGTAAACCGCGCAAACCATCAAGGGAACGAGCAGCGAACGAGAAATCAGAATCAAAGGAAGCAGACGTACGAGCGAGGAGACGAGACCGACTTGTGACCATCTGGCACCAAGCAATTACGTAGGAGGGAGCCGAGAGGAGAGAAGAGGAAGGGGAGTGAGGAGGGAAGAGCGAGGAAGAGGAGGGGAAACAAATATGGTGAGGAGACAGAACGGAACGGAACAGGACGATTACGATACAAACCAGTATATCGTCGCAGGGAGCTAGAAGAAGGAGAAGGATGGTAGAGCAGGAGAGGAGGAGAGATGATGATAAGATGAAGGATGATGAAGAAGACGACGACGACGAAAACGACGACGACGAGACGACGAGAAGGAGAAGCGAGGAGGAGGAGGAGGAGGAGGAGGAGGAGGAGGAGGAGGAGGAGGAGAGAGAGAGGAGGGAGGAAGGAGAAAGAAGAGAGCGAGGAGAGAGGACAGAGGACCAGGGATGATAAGGTACCAACTCGGGACCTGCCAGCCCTGGCGCGCCCGCCGATCGGAAATCCGAATGCGTTCAACGAGAGCGGACGACCCCACCGCGCTCGTCGATTGGGGTACCACCCAGCCAGGGCCGAACGACCCAGCCAGGGAAGCATGGGGACGGCGTATTCCCCTCGCCCCTCCTCACCATCATTCCCATCCTCCTCCACCACACCCTCTCCTCCTCCTGCTCCTCCCCCCCCCTCCTACCCTTACTCCTGTTTTGAACACAGTCGACTTTCTCACCTAGCCGGCCGACATCCCCACATCTCGGGGTCTCCACGGGTTGTCGCCCACGCCGTAAAATGCATAACAAGCATGGGCGGGGCGCACATGCCATGCGCAGAGGCGAGACGTCGCTCTCGCTGCGCTCATCCTTCTCTCGGAGCGGCGAACTCCCGCCTGGGAAGGGCGCACCTGCTTCGTGCGCCCCTTCGTCGACGCGCGAGCGTCGGAAAATGTCACGTTCGCCCCTGCGCCGCGCAGACTTTCGCCTGAGAAAGCGGCGTTCCCGCCAAGGGTGCGGCGCAGATCTGTCAGCCACCAGGTGCTTTCGGGCCCCGCGCGCGCAGGCGACCTGTCGCCCTCGCCCAAGCCTTAGGTCGGGCCTGTCCCCCCACAGGGGGGCTTTGGGGCGAAAAAATAAAAATACCCAAAAAAGGCACCAAAAATGTTCAAAAATGGTGGAAAAAATGTCACCCGGCTATTTTTGACTATTTTCGAATACTCATCCTGTAGAGGGACAGGCCCGACTTAACGTTTGGAAGTGGCGGTCCCGAGCGGGCGCGGCACATGTTTCGTTCGCCGAATCGCATGGAAGCGGCAGCGGCAGCGGGGCCGCGCGCGAGACCGTGTCCTCGTGCAAGCGGCGCGAAATCTTGTGAGCGAAGGTGGCAGTGCTGTTTCGACGCGGCGCATGCTTCGGCAGGCGTGCCGCTCCCACCCGTGCGCGGCCCGCGTGGTTTTCCCGTCGCCAAGTCGTCGGAAGCGGGACCCCACGCGAGCGCCGTCCGCTCGATGGATGGAAACGCGTTCCAATCCGTATATCAGGTTGTGCCGCAATTGATTCGGGGATGGACAAACCCCCCTTTAGCAAAACGTGGTTTAGTGAAAACGACGTGAGGCCCAAACCTGGCGGGCGCAAGCCTGGAAAATAACGGCCACGGCGCCCTCTCGAAAACCGAAAACGGACAATTCACTAATCGACGTGTCACTGTTGGGGGTTCTGTCCACCCCCGATTGATTACGTCTGGCGTTGGAAAGATAGCGTGCGACGCCGATGTGGACCTTCGAAGAGCTCGCGATCCCTGCGAGGCGATCCCCCCGCAGGGGCCCCCCCTCTGCGCACGCCATCCCCCTGCCCAGGGCAGCTTCGGTGCTCGTGATCCCCGAGAGGGGGGAGGACCGCGCGTGACAAGCGGGCTCGCAGCGCCACATCGCACGCTGTCTGTCCAGCGCCAACACTAGCATGTTGATATGGGGAGGGCGGGAATGGGTGGGGCCCGCTGACTCGTTCGGCCCGGGCAACTTGACGCCTAATTACTTCCACTGCTCCGCCTCGTCCTCCTGCGATTCCTCCGCTGCCTCCTCGGACTCTGGCGGCTCCTCCTTCCCCTCCTCATCCTTCGCCGTCGCTTCCTAGCCCACCGGCCAACAGGCTTACCGTCCCGACTGGCGCTTCCTGCAGCCTCATTCAATGGCTCGCGCCCTCGGTTCCTGGTAGATGTGTCCTCCTGCGATGAAACGCCGAACGTGCCAGCTGCGGGGAAAGGGCTTACGCCCGCAGGTCGGTGAGGGGAGGGTGAAGAAGAAGAAGAAGGAGAAGAGGGGGGAGAGGAAAATGACGAGGAGGGAGAGGGGAAGGAAGAGGAGGAGGAGGAGGAGAAAGAAAAGAATGAGGAGAAGGAGGGGGAGGAGAAGGGAGATGGAGAGGAGGGAATAGAGGATGAGGAGTAGTAGGAGAATAAGGGCAAAGAGGGGAAGGGGCAGAAGAAGGAGGAGGAGCAGCAGCAGAAGGATGAGCAGCAGCAGGAGGGGAAACAGAACGACGACGACGACGACGACGACGACAACAGCGGCGAAGGCGACGCCGACGGCGATGGTGACGACGACAGCGACGACAAACGACAACGACGACGACGACGACGACGACGACGAGGACAACGACGACGACGACGACGACGACGACGACGACGAGGACGAGGACGCGGACGTGGACGAGGACGTGGACGAGGACGAGGACGGACGGAGTGACGGACGGACGGACGGACGGACGGACGGACGGACGACGACGACGACGACGACGACGACGACGGCACGGCTCTGCGCACCCGGAGCGCCCCGAGCCCGATGCACGCAGCCAGCAGGCCAGCCAGCGCCACGGCGTGCGGCGCGCCCGCCAGTGGCCCTCTCGGGAGAGGGAGGGGAGGGCGGGCGCCAGCGAGAAGGCGAGGCCTGAGGAGGAGGAGGAGGAGGAGGAGGAGGAGGAGGAGGAGGAGGAAGAGGGGGAGGAGGAGGAGGGGGAGAAGGAGGGGGATTCCAGCGATTCCAGAATTCGGGGGACTCACGAGTGCAAGCTCGGGCCCTCGATCAGAACAGTCAAGGAGCGGGGAAGGCCATGCCATACTTGGGAGGCTTGCCTTCGGCTAGCCGCTCAAGGTTGCGCCTGCCAGTGGCGGACAGAGGCGCGCCAGTCTCAGGGCACGCGGGTGGGCAGGGCTTGGCCAACTTCTGAACAACGTTGGCGGCAAAGTACCCACAGCACCGACAATACAAAATTCCTTTGAATTCAGCCAAGACGTGCGTCGGATGCGCACGCGGGAAACAGGGATGTCCGATCGGGTTGCCCTGGGACGCGGGGCCAGGGGAAGCCGAAGGGTCCAACCTGCCAGACGACGAGGACCCCAACACCAGCGCTCCAGGGCACTGGCTAGGCCAGAATTTGGCCAGCTCCCCTCGGACGGCAGGAAATCTACACAGACAACGCGAGCACTTAAAGGATCCAGCAACTTTACACACATCATGGCCCTGCTCACGCAATCTCGCCTTGCGGAGGTTGCTCGAACTGGGGCCTCGCTCTTTGTGGTGCTCTCTACCTAGACGGTCCTCACGAGTCCTCGGGCACATGAGCGAAACATGCCTGGAGACAGCGAGGAGTCGCTTAACTACACGTAAACAATTTTCATATACGTTATAGATTTCCCTGACCTTCTCAACAGGCAGGGCCCCCCACTTGGCAGCTTCCCCCGCAAAGTGATCGGCAACGCCATTGGCGACTAATCCTTGGGGGGTCAGGCGGTGGGCGGCGACCTGCTTGAAGGTGGGGTGGCTCTTGCACCAGTGAACGTCCAGCTTGCCTTCTCTGTTGCCAAGCTGGTCCCAGACCTGCTGCCACAGGTCCAACATGCACGAGTGATCAACTTCGACATCCTTCCGAGCAAAAGCACGAGCGACAGGCAGAAAGTCGGTGTACAACACTGCATCACCGACGACATAACGCAACAGCTGGACCACAGCATACAATTCGGCACGGGGAGAGTTTTGCTCAGCTCCAGGGAGGGTTCCACACAACACGCCTGACACCTGGAGGGTCCCTGGTTGAAGGTGAACAACAGACCACCCACATCTCCTCAACCTCCAATCCTTCGTATGTTCTCCTCCAGACGCGTCACTCCCGAATATACCCCCATGAATCGGTACACCTTCACGAAGCGCCTCGTGAAAGGATCCCCAGGCCCAAACCTTAGCTTCGACATGAGGCAACACACCAACCGTCCAACCCAGGGGAACCAAGCCACGAGTCCAGAAACACTCCGATTCAGGAACACCAACAAGGGAATCTTCATACATATGGTTAGTGAGGTGTATGTGGTCATCATCAATATTCACATTATCTTGACAGCCCCAGTATCTGTGCCAAGGTGTCTCCTGACGAACTCCACAGCGAGGGCATACACCATTGCTGAGGTAGCCGCTGTCCTTGAGGCGCTGCTCTGGCCACTGGCCGCCAGAGACAAGGTGGTTCAAAATAGCAACGCCGTCGAGGTCGCCTTGCCGAGACAGCGAATTCCGCAGCCTACGCAACATAGTAAAATCGACGCCTTCATGCAGACCCTGTCCCCCATACGCCTTAGATGCTTGGACCCAAAGCATACTACCCACTTGTTTTTCAACCGTCTTCCACAAAAAGTACGGGAAACCACGTCGGTCAACATGGAGGGTAACATCAGGGAATCTCCACGTGCAGGGCTCCAGCGGGTTCCCATTGAGCTCCAAGACACACATGATGACAGACGCGATGGGTCCCCGCACATGACGCCAACGGTGAACAGGGGGGACACTTCGCAGCTTAGCTAACAACTTGGGCCGCACTTTGTTCACACTACAAACTTGGCTAGGGTCGAGGACACGGTAGGTTCGGCGCCATTCCAAAAGATGTTCAAATCGAATCTTATACGCTGGGTCATCATACATAGCATGATCAAGAGCAAGGAGGGTAGTGGTACAACAGCCTGCATGCCATCGTCCTGTCGCTTTAGCAGCCTGGGCACGGAGAGCACGCATGCGCGAGGGCGGAGTGCCGAGGACTTGATGGCTCCATGTGCCAACAGCGACCACTCCTGGCTTAAACAACTTGCGAGCACGACGATTGACATGAGACAGAAACGTGAGCCTCTTACTGCGAAGCCTAGCTTCTTCCTTGCGCTGAGTCATTTTCCATCGTCCTCCTCCTCCCCGCCGTGGTCCCAACTCCCAAGTCCTTCACAGAATCAACAACTTTAAGCGGAATATTCAGCTCGTCACAGAGAGCCTGAAAGGGGCGACCAACCTGCCGAGAAGAGGCGACGACACACGACTTCGAAGAGATCTTACACCCACGGCGTTTCAAAACATCACAAAGTTCTCGCGCAGCTGGCACCAGTTTGGTAAGGATGTCCTGCACAGAGCCTTGGATGCACTGGGTAAGGTCGTCCACATACGCCGAGATTGGGACACGAGGGACACGACAGTGTGCCGCCTCCAAGATATCGTAGAGATAACACTTTATCCATGGTAGGGACTGGGAACATCCAGCTAAAATGGATTGGCCAGCCTGCATCACACCCGACACCAGGGACTGGACCTCGAGGAGCCTGGGAGAGGTGTGGATCAGGAGGCCCAGGTAGAGGGGCAAGGAGGAGTAGTCGACAGCCTGAGCCAAGCCGATGAGCTTACTTGGGTCGATGGTGTCAAAAAATTTCTCCATATCCCAATGTCCAGAAACAGAAAACACTCCCTCCACCCGAGCACACTCGTGCAAAACTTCACGAAGCATGGCGGCCCGCAGGGCCGAGGAGTTCTTCACAGCCGCATCCCAGAAGGCGACGTGAGAATCGGTCCAGTCCTGGATTTTTTCCCCGCGGATTCGGGTATACAGTCGGTAGAGGGTGGGGCACTTAGTGATGGGTCTTTCAGACGTGGGCGTTTTGGGCAGGAGGGTGACCAAACAAAGGTAGACCTGCTGGGGAAACTCAAGGGCATACTCGATGCCATTAAAAATGGTGGCCAGATGATCCAGGGCTTCACCAGGGAGCCGCATTAGATCACGAGGGGACCACCCGTCCACGCCAAGGGCCGTGTCGGCCGAGAAACACTTGCAAGCCGTGAGCACGTCTTGGCCTTCAATGCTGCGCGCCTCGAGAGACTCAAGCTCAGCGACAGGTCGGAGGCGCTGCATAGCATACTCGAGATCACAAACTTGCCTACTCGTAGGCGTCCACCAGGACGCCCAAAACTGCTCTCGATATCTCATCATCTCTTGGGGGGTCTGGGCAACGAAAGTGGGGGTAACAAACATCACAACCTCCTTCTTGGCGTCAGAACGCAACCAACGGTGGACCACTTTCGCTCCCCCCGCAAGTCCCTTGGAGAGCCAGGCCTGGATGCCGAGCCGATTAGCTTTCCGAGCTGCCGTCCACGCGCGGCGAAGGACTGGGACGAGAGCTTCCTGGATGACTTTGAGCTTCCTTGGGTCAGCTGGAATGTCTTGCAACCACCCTGTCCATACAGCAGCTTGCCGAGCATCGGCGAGGCCTTCAAGGTGTAGCCCCACCTCGTCACCGCGCGCTCGGAGGAGAGTCCTGAGAGCGGTGACCTGGGTGGTGCCTCCTCTCTTCAAGGCGACAGCAAACTCGTACAGGCGGGACGATATCAGCGCCCAAAAAGCCAGGCAGGGGTGGGAGAAACCTTGCTTCATCACTCCTCGTTTGGGAAGGGTCCGCTCCTGCACAACTACTGCTCTGCCCCTGCGCCCTCCCGGCGAAGGCCACGTGGAGAGGGAGCGGGAGCAAAACAGCATTTCCGCAGCAGTAGACCACTTTTGATAGGCTTCCGAGAGTCCTTGCGAGTGGAGGGGCCAGTGAAACTCGAGGAAGGCTCCACGGACTTCGCGAGGTATCTCCACAACTTGGTCACCAGCACGGTGGACAAAATCACTCCAATGCTGATCAGGCCCAGGGTGGGCCCCTATTGGAACTGGTCGATCACGTTTCATCACGGTGTCACGGAGAACCTCGAGCGACATCTGCACATGCAAACAGGCGTGCGTCTTAAAAGCGGAGCTCCAATCCGCGTCAATCGTCAGGTATGGGCGGATGTCCCGCGACACGACTGCATAATCAATCAGGCGGCCAGTGCCTTTGTCACATGTAAAGCCAGTATTGCGGGGGTCCACCGTGACGCCAGAGACAACCTCACAGAAACCACATTGGTGCAACTCGAGGGGCTCCATGTTGAAATCTCCCAAGAGGATCCACGGGCACTCAAGCACCCCCAGGAACTCAACCACTTCATGGAGACGATCGAGGTTTATACCTGAAGCTCCAATCCCAGAGACAAGATAAATAACTCCCAGAGCGAGCGTACAATGCTGCGTCTTCATTTCCAGGAAAAACCAACTCTGCCCCTGGCCCACGTTCTCGACCCCAGCTGGGAGACTACGCAGGAATTTCTTGCAGTAGACCGCCTTCTGCACGACAGCGCCGACACCACCGTGCCATCCTCCGCCAGGCGAAGGAAGAGCAGCTTGGAAGTGCGGGCGCCATCCCATAGATGAGCAGTCTCTCTTGGCGGCCTGTAGCTTGTCGGGTCCCTGATGGTGCTCGGCAAAGAGGAAAACGTCGACATCTTCCACAGCTCTGGCAAGTTCAGACTTGGCCAGTTCAGACCAGCTGGAAACGTTGCAGAACTTGACATCGATGGTCGAGCGTCCGTCAACCCTCTGCCCTCGCCGCCCCAGGGACTCGTCAAACCAACGACGCGCCTTGCACAACTTGGGGGGCTGCCAGGTGGGCAAACGCATTAACCCACATATCATTAGCATAAGTAGCCACCTTGAGCTTCTTATGCGCCTGGGCATGAAATTTGTTG